ATATCATTGTTTGTTAACTATATCAAAAACTGTTCAGATCCAACCATTGAACCATATATAATGACAATGCCTTTTTAGATTAAATGATAGATTTTGTTTGGAAAGTGGTCATGCCCCACTCCCTCATATCATTAATTGTTAAATATGTTGAAAACAGATAAGATTCCTACCCATTAACCATATATGTATATAATCTTATTTGCCATGATGATAACATTTAAGTATTAGAATGCATTTGTTGACCTTTTCTTAACTTATACTGGAGTGACTTCTAAAGATGAAGTGGTGTAACATTAGTTTTAGCCCTCTAAAGCAGTTCCACCTAGTTCATGTTCTAATTCCATTAAATATGTCATGTTTTGTACTAGTATGTTGATTGCATCAGGGAAATCAATCAGACTTATTGATTAGTCTTTGTTTATTTGGCACTTATTGTATGTGTTGTCTATTTCATTCTTTATTAGCTAAAAGTTCACATATTACATTTAGAAGATTCTATAGAATTGTCAGAAATGTCATTATGTCAGATTTTTTGTTGGTCATTTTTTCTTGAATGTATTGACATTTTGATGTTTGCTTACTGAGATTGTGATTGATATACATTTCATTGCATGTGAAATTGACAATACTAATAGAAATAGATATCAATTACCCTGTTTCAATTGTCCTTGATCAGATAGCTCTATTTTATAGCTATTCAACATTCTGTCACATCTGTTTTTTTATGTTGGAAAAAAAAATGATCATCCATACTTGAAAAAAAATGTAATTGGTTATAGAATAACACAACAGAATCTAAATTAACATCCTGCCATCAGGTTACAGACACTGTGTAACAAAAATGAAGTAGAGCCACAATAACAGTTTTGGTTTGTATCTTAAGATATTGTTCGAAGTTAACATTTCTTTCTAACAGAAACTGAAAAAGGCTACATTCTCAATGTTGTAATAATTCAATTGGAGTTTATGGGGAACAAAACAACAAAAACCTTCAATGGCCCAAAATCTTTTAATTATAATGATAAGAGAGATAAACAAATAAAAATACAGAAATAAAAATGATTAAAACAAAAAGACCAAGCAAAATTATCAAAATAATGGAAAAATAATTATCAACACCCAGAGTAAAACTGGCAAAAGATGCTCAAAATTGATGGGAAATCTTCCTTATTCCCAAACTATCATCAACAATTAATCTTGGTTTTGGACATGGTGACATTGTATATGTTTTGAACATGGTGACATTGTATTTGTTTTGGAAATGGTGACATTGTATTTGTTTTGGAAATGGTGACATTGTATTTGTTTTGGACATGGTGACATTGTATTTGTTTTGGACATGGTGAAATTGTATTTGTTTTGGACATGGTGACATTGTATTTGTGTTGGAAATGGTGACATTGTATTTGTTTTGGAAATGGTGACATTGTATATGTTTTGAACATGGTGACATTTTATTTGTTTTGAACATGGTGACATTGTATATGTTTTGGAAATGGTGACATTGTATTTGTGTTGGAAATGGTGACATTGTATTTGTTTTGAACATGGTGACATTGTATTTGTTTTGGAAATGGTGACATTGTATATGTTTTGAACATGGTGACATTGTATTTGTTTTGAACATGGTGACATTGTATATGTTTTGGACATGGTGACATTGTATTTGTGTTGGAAATGGTGACATTGTATTTGTTTTGGAAATGGTGACATTGTATTTGTTTTGAACATGGTGACATTGTATATGTTTTGAACATGGTGACATTGTATTTGTTTTGGAAATGGTGACATTGTATATGTTTTGAACATGGTGACATTGTATTTGTTTTGAACATGGTGACATTGTATATGTTTTGGACATGGTGACATTGTATTTGTGTTGGAAATGGTGACATTGTATTTGTTTTGAACATGGTGACATTGTATTTGTTTTGGAAATGGTGACATTGTATATGTTTTGAACATGGTGACATTGTATTTGTTTTGAACATGGTGACATTGTTTATGTTTTGGACATTGTATTTGTGTTTGAAATGGTGACATTGTATTTGTTTTGAACATGGTGACATTGTATATGTTTTGGACATGGTGACATTGTATTTGTGTTGGAAATGGTGACATTGTATTTGTTTTGAACATGGTGACATTGTATTTGTTTTGAACATGGTGACATTGTATATGTTTTGGACATGGTGACATTGTATTTGTTTTGGACATGGTGACATTGTATATGTTTTGGACATGGTGACATTGTATTTGTTTTGGACATGGTGACATTGTATTTGTTTTGGAAATGGTGACATTGTATTTGTTTTGAACATGGTGACATTGTATATGTTTTGAACATGGTGACATTGTATTTGTTTTGGACATGGTGACATTGTATATGTTTTGGACATGGTGACATTGTATTTGTTTTGGACATGGTGACATTGTATTTGTTTTGGAAATGGTGACATTGTATATGTTTTGGAAATGGTGACATTGTATTTGTTTTTGGAAATGGTGACATTGTATTTGTTTTGGACATGGTGACATTGTATTTGTTTTGGACATGGTGACATTGTATTTGTTTTGGACTTGGTGACATTGTATTTGTTTTTGAAATGATGACATTGTATTTGTTTTTGGCATGATGACATTATATTTGTGTTGGACATGATGACATTATATTTGAGTTTTGACATGATGACATTATATTTGTGTTGGACATGATGACACTATATTTGTGTTGGACATGATGACATTATATTAGAGTTTTGACATGATGACACTATATTTGCTTAGGAGGAACTGACTATTGATGTCCCTTATGAGTCTAGACATGAGGTATATAGCTGCACCTAAACAACATGATATTACAACAGATGCTAAAGGATTATCACACGCCATATGTTTGATCAAGTCACAAGAAAGTGGTTCTCATGTCGTGTACTATGTAATCCTCTCTAAAGTCTCGTGTATTTTGGCAAAGTTTAGTTTGGATACGCCCAAATTGAGTTTTGTTAATTAAGTATCAACATATTATGAATTTGTGTACCTTTTGACTGAGGTTCCTTTAATTAATGATAAAAGATCTCAGGAGTCATTGAATTATCAAAAGGGGAAATTTTGTAGCAAGCTACAAGGAAATATATTTATAATGTAATGGTAAAAATTAACACCATCATACAACTTAATGCAAATAAGTTAATCCAAATCTTCAGCCCAACTTTCCAATAATATGCAAGTTCTCCATAAGTCCACAATTGTCAACTGTTGCAAAGCAGAGCGGGTGATATGGAAATGCTGTTGTTCATGGGGATTTGTTTAACAGTTCATCGGACTATGATCAAATTTATGTCAAAGGTTAACATTAGCTATTTCTCACATATAAAAATGAGAAGATGTAGTATGATTGCCAGAGGAGACAATTATCCACCAGTTAAAAATGAGGAGATGTAGTATGATTGCCAGAGGAGACAATTATCCACCAGCGACAAAAGGACCAGGATGTAAACAATTTGAGGTCATTGTATGGCCTTCAACAATAAGTAATAAAATAATATCCTTACCTACACTGAAGCGTTAAATGAAATTTACATTAGCAATATCTCGCCTCGAGTGCTGGAGGTCGTGGGTTCGAACCCCAGCCGAGTCACACCAAAGACTTTAAAATTGGTATTTGCTGCTTCTCCGCTAAGCACGCAGTATTTAGGAGTAGGAGCAAAGACTGGTCGGTTGGAGTATAATGTTTTTGAGTAAGGTGACATGTCTTCCTGTGGACTGTTACCTTGTGAACTAGCACGTTTAAAATCGAGTTCAGTGTGTCGGTCTTGTACAAATCAGGGTTACTATTCATATTACATTAACATGTTCTCGTCATGAATGTTAAGCAGCCATCCATCATCACCATCATTAGCAATATCTCTGACAATTTCGAATATCAGGCCTGATCAAATTATTTAAGGGGGAGTTATGCCTATGAAATATAAATGATACTGAAAATGTCTTGCCCCTACATTCAGGTTTTCATCATCTATATATCAGATGGCTTCAAAAGTCACATGTTCAGATATTTTTGTCAAAAGTTTTTTCAGCAATATTTCATGTATTTCAGTTCAGTCAGATCATTAATGCCCCTTGGAAAAGTCTAGTGAAAAATTTCATATATTGACTAGGTTGGAAAAATCATTTCCAAGTTCATTCAATTTTGATATAACTATGAATGTGTTTTTAAGTTAAGATAGTAGCCAAGTACATTTTTGTAAAAATAAATTAGCATTAGTATCGTTTTGTAAACTTGTACTATTATAATCTTACTTTATATTGCTGTGTCTTACATGAAATTAAAAAATTATAAAATAAGAAGATTTCTGTTGAATGAACGATTTAGAAAGCATATCTACACATTGAATTGAAAGACATTGCAAGCAAGCTAATCTAATCAGGAAAAATGTTGTTATTAAAATACTATCAACACTTTTATATATTTGTATCAAACCTATACATTGCTTGGTTCTGTACTATATTCATGACATTGTGCACCAGACAGACTTTTGAGGTCGATAAGTGTGTCATCACAGGTTGCTGATAATGCTTCATTACAAATTAATTATTTTTTTATTCTGATCTGTGTGATTTACTGAATGTCTAATGGGAATAGGTATTACAGATATCAAGCAATTATGTTACATCAAACTTTATCTGATAGCCGATAAATGATAAAAAGTATTTCTCTGGAATTTCCAATAAAGGTACCCTTTTTGAATTTAATGAAATGCAATCTGGGATTACTGAGGGATAACTAATTTGTATTAAAAGAGCAGTTTAGGTAGTATGTCTATGTCTAGATAATGAAACTAATTGTCTTTGAAATTGACATCATTAAATGATGTAGATTGATTTCCAGATAAAAGAAGGAATCACCATTACGCACCTGAAGATGAAAATAATATGATGCAACTATTAATCCACATTGATTATGGTAATAAATATCTCTTACAAAATTGTGTTTACAGATTAAAGAGAAAAAGACACTTTTCTCCACTATAGATGAAATTGACAATGACATTGACAGTTGTAAGGAAAATATTGAACCCTCACAGCAGCACGAAATTGACAAAAGTGAAATCAACAATAGCAGTGATGTAACTTACACATCTGATGGACAGAAGAGAGATGATTCATCGTTTGTCGCCACAGCCTCGCAGAATTCTGCTACTGCTGTAGTATGCTCCATGACTCATAGTAAACTATTGGAGCCAAGACAACAACCTTTGCTAAACTATAACACTACAGATACAACACCATGCAAAGTCCTGTCCAATACCAGCAGTCATCAAAATGTCCAGGTTGGTACTTCTGGCAAGTCTACGTTAGCGGCCCGGAGAATTCCTATTACTGCTGCTAAGCATGACTCGGATATTCCAAACTGTGTTAGTGTTACAGCATCAGAGAAATATAGGACATTTTGCAAAAATATCGAAAAGCCGTTTCATCAGTCAGGAATTTCATCATTACCCAAACAGGGAGGAACAGAAGATGGCACTACATTTAACCTTTCACTACCGCATTCTAACCTCAGAAGTGTAAAGGTGCCATTTGATGATGCCGTAAACCACAATTGTGATGACTTAGAATTACAGGTAGGGTATACTTAAGCTTAATTTTATTCTATATTAAGCATTGTTATATAAGTCTTCACAGTAAAAGGATGAAAGCAAACCTCTGACTTTTGGAATTTTTTAACTTACAACTTATGACCAAGGTTAAAATTATCACATAATGAAATATTTTTCCCTTCATTTTTAAGCAAACACAAATTTGTATGGTCATACATTTAGAAGAAAAAAAAAATTGAAAATAATATGAAATGAATGAAAGTTATATGGATAAAAAATTGTTCTTTTCGTTACAAATAAGTTTTTACTGCATCCAAAGACCACTTATAGCTTACAGATTGTTATAATTATATCAGCAGTTTGAAAATGATTTTGTAGTTAAAATTGTGGTTTTGATAAAAATAAGTTTGATATTGTAAGATGATTCAATGTAAAAAAGATGAAACATTTGCCCAATACTGATTCTGTTTTGATAAGACAGTAAGTAAAGAATGTTATAAAGTTCATTTATAGATTCTTGATCATTGTATTGTTTACATTATTGTGTGTCACTAAATCCCCCTAATTTATGTCAAATTGGTAATGTTAATTTGTATAATCATTTATTTTAATGTCACTAAGTCTCAAGATAATTAGTGGAACATTTTATTTCTTGAGGATGTTATCTTTTTTTTTTTTTGTATAAGTTTATAAATAACGTTTCGTACTTAAAGTACTCATATATGTTATATGAAGTACTTTCATTCCTGGTTTGCACAAGTATAGATTCCTGTTTCATAGAACAAATTAATTAAGTCTAAGGTAAATGTATTATTGGTAATGCAAACAACTGTTATTTAATATATTGTCAGATGGAAAGGGCAAGTTATACATTTACAACACCAAATAGCTTTTATTTTATGTTTAAAGCAATTTTGTGTTGTAAGTTTAATGCATTAATTGTTTAGGGATTAAGATGTACAATTTACCCATTAAAAAGACCCACATTTTTATTCCAACAATTTGTAAATTGATTGAAAATATTTGAAATTGCTATTAATAAAAGTTTGTATAACAAATGAATATATTAGACATCAGCTAATTCAATGCAAATCAGTGAGCATGAATGAAAAAAAAAAGATTAACTGGAACATCTTCATTTTATATAATAACTGATAATACATTCAAATTATAAACCATCCGTTGTGTATCTGTCAAGAAATATATTTGTATACACGACTTTAAATCTGATTTCTTTTGGAACAGAAGGTAAATAATGCATGAATTTATGACACTGCTTTGTATTTATATTACACTACAGTGAAATCATAATAATCTTTATAATTTCATTGTTTTAATTTATAATGAGTTTCCATCGCAAGGCTGACCCTGCCATTGGTTGTCTTATGTCATATCTTAAAGTTTTTTTGTTATTTTGAGGAATTTTGTGTTGATGGCTGATCTTTAATTGTTTCTGTTCAATTTATTCTCTTTTTTTTTAACTGACGATTTAGACCTTGACATATTGTTAAGACATCTGTCTATTGTTGAAGACTTTCTGTTGCCCTCTAGATTTGTGTTGGGTTTTTTTGTTGTTGAGTTGCTGTCTCATTAGCGTGTACCCAAAACTCCTTTGACTCATGTTTTTAAATTTCCAAGTTATTTTTTTATATTAGCTGTTTTAGTATGGTAGCTATCTTGATAAAAAAAATAATTCATGATAGAAAAGGTTACCGGTACATAGTAAAAGTTTATGGTAATTTACAATTCTGAAATAAACATCATTATGCTGTTATGATGTCAGCCAGTTCAGTATAATTTAAATTACTTTCTTTGGTAAATAAAAGTTTTTGCTAACATGCTCTAAAAAAAAACAAGATTGAGAAGCATTTTTAAAGGCAGTGCTTTAATGCCTTTCTAGTTGCCGGGTTAATCCTTCCTTCCGCGATATCCAACTTATCTACGTGGGGGGTCATTAGACTCCAAGTAGATCCGGAAATGTTGAATTCTCTCCTCTTCTTATTGCGATATAAAATGTTTTTTGTTTCATTTCATTTACATTGGGAAATAGAGAAACGATCATTGTGTTTTGTTAGTTTTAAAAACTTTTGATATATTAGTATTTTGCATTATAAGCAGTCAACCGATTGACAAACTAGAATTATTTGAATTCCGTGTGGAAAGAGCTCGGGTTAATTTCGAGTGTTATCTGCAATCTAGATGTTTATAAATCATTTCAGTCGTTGATATAATAATTAAAGGTCGACTGAACATGAATTATATTATACAATTTAAAGCGCATTTCTGTTTATGCACGTGAATCCGTCTAACGTTATTTTCGCAGTTATATAAAGTAGCAAATTATCGTTCCTGAATAGGTGGCGCCGTGGTAGCGGATCCTGTTCCTCTTCTTCCGGTTTCTGCACTGTGCAACTATTTCAGTTATATTTTTAATTAACGATGCCAAGTACTTGTTGTTGTGTACCTGGATGTCATTTAAGAGGAGGACATGCATTTCCAAATGACTTAAAAAGAAGGAAAAGTTGGATCAACGCCATGGCCCATACGCAGATTGGACGAGAACACGATGATATCGTGGAGTCCATCTCAATCAGCTGTTGTTTGCAAGGCACGTTTTACTGAAAAAGACTACGTGCAGGAAACTATTCATGGTAAAACTCTATTTTCTTTGTGAAATATATAGTTATATATGTAATCTCCATGCGAATAAACCAAAGTCTGTTTACAACCGCAATTATCGTTTTAGAATAAAAGGAGGTGGGTAATTCAAGACGTCATAATTTTTTGGATTACGATTCAATGTGATCTGTTTGAGATTTTTTGGTGATTGCTACAATTATAATGATTTCTTACAAGAGGTATATCATACTGAGAATTATTTTAGCAGTAATTATGCTAATGTAGTAATGACAGGAATGCATAAGCTTATGCCTCATAGACTTTCTTGAAAAATATAAATGACAATGTTAACAGGAACAAAACAATGACATGCTCTCATCTATATTATAGTTATTTAGGTACAAACAATGTACGTTTGTTGCATAAGTCTCTCATTGTTTGTCCTTTGGATTTACATAACATACATAGTTTTATCCAGATTGTAATGAATAAATCTAGTTAATATTTCGCCAGGTAGTATAAAGTATACATTGCTAATGGAAGTTCATTTAATTATAAAAAATCTAATGTTTTATAACCTTTTTCAGGGCGCAAACCCACCATACAGAGACTTAAGTCTACTGCAATTCCCAGCCTATTTTCCTGGACCAAGCAAGAGACTGAATCGTCCGCAAAAAGAAAAATCAGGGCAGTTTCCTGTGAAAACAAAAGAACTAAACTTGATGAATATTGTAGTAGACCACACTTGGTCCAGCAGCACATTGTTTGAGATACATATATTTTCAAATTGATAGGGTGTCAGTTGAAAATCAGTTTTTTTATGACTTTGATGAAATTGAGGCATCATACAACCAACTTTGAACTGTCTAGATTCTAGATTGAATCTAGTGTTAAGAATATTGTGTATACATGGATTATTTTTATGTCTAAACAGTGGTGTGAGGCTAACACTTGGCCATCTAGTGGTTTAGTCAGGTATTTTTCACCATCCAACTTCAAATTAAAGTTTCCTACGACTTGGATTATTATTGACAGCACAGAATATCCCTTCATAAAACCTAAAGCTCCTAGAGCTCAGGCAACCTTTTCATCAAATAAAAACAGAAACACTGAAAATTCTTGAATGTTCGACACCTGGTGGTTTAGTCAACTATGTCTCTATGTCACATAGAGCGAATTATTGGACTTGGCAAAACATACAAAATTCTAATAAATCCTATGAATGAAACTGAAACAAAACTTTCATCTGATGTATGTTGTGTAATTTTAGAACTTGTATTGTGCCAAAGGATGCATAAATAAAAGTGACGCAATGAATTTTGTTCTGATATATATATATTTACAATTACATGCACATGTAAATTGTAATGCATATAAAAATAAGGAGATGTGGTATGATATTCAGTGAGTTTATCAAACTAAAGTGCATAAGAAATGGGTTTAAGCAGTTACAGGTGTTACTGTCACCGTACAATCTCCAACAATGAGAAAAACTCGTACCCTGTAAAAAATTTCAGAGATCTTACAACTAAGTTTTGTTGTCTCACCTTGACTTTGGTGAATTTTTTATATCTGTTGATGTAAATATAAAAAAGAAGATGTGGTATGATTGCCAATGAGACAACTCTCCACACATGCACAAGAGACCAAATGACACAGAAATTAACAGCTATAGGTCACAGTACGGCCTTCAACAATGAGCAAAGCCTATCATACCGCACAGTCAGCTATAAAAGGCCCAGAAATGAAAATGTAAAACAATTCAAACAAGAAAACTAACGGCCTATTTTATGTAAAAAAATGAACAAATATAACAAATATGCAACACATAAACAAACGACAACCACTGAATTACACTTTTATAGGCTCCTGACTTGGGACAGGCACATACATGTACATACAGAATGTGGCGTGCTGAAACATGTTAGCGGGATCCCAACCCTCCCCCTAACCTGGGACAGTGGTGTAACAGTACAATATAAGAAAGAACTATAAAAATCAGTTGAAAGAGGCTAAACTCATCAGATGGATAAATACAAATACAAGTGGAGGTGGTCGGGTAGTTGTACATCCAAACAACAAAAAGACACTAAGTACAAATCTGAGAGTACTCGCAGTTACTGACAGCTAGTTCAAAGCCATTAACAACTGATAAAAAAATCTTGCATCTAAGACTAAATTATCAATCCGTAAGCTCCCTTTAGAATTTTATAAATTTTAGATTTTACATTTCTGAGTTATGGGGTTTTATTCATTAAAAAAGGGGGGATTTTCCAGTTTTTGGACAACAACTCAAAAATGCTTTAAGCAGTTCACATGAAACTTTGGTGAATTATTTATAGCTATTGATGTAATCTCCCTATTGATTTTCATAAATTTCAAATATGACATTGAGAAGAAATTGA